GGGTATATGGCGGCTCACCCCGCCCTTTGTTCTTCTGCATGCTCCCCCGCTTCCCTCATAACCTCCACTCCCCTGGGACTCATTTCTGGACGGGCTGGTGGGGATACGCGAAGCGTCTAGAATTTGGTTTACGTTCCCTGTATTCTTAACGTGCCGAAGTGTCTAGGAAAAAATTGCAAACGGCCTTGCACCAAAATGAGCCCGCGAACGGTCCACAACTTTCTCAACGCTGAAATATGGAAAGGGGGCGAATTCGAGTTTGCGCAAGAAAAAGCTGATCTCGCCATTGTGCAGCAGGAGCTCTCAACTCTAATTGCAGAAAAGGAAGATGTTTTGAACTCCGCCCCATTCCTGACTTGAGAAAGAGAGGGGGGAAAGTTCGAACCTCTTGCCCCTTCCCCTTCTTTTTCCTTCCTCCATTGCTTCCTTTTCTCTCCTTGGCCGGCGCTTGCGTCGGCGGCGGGCGGGGACGACGATTACCTTTTCTGAGCCCTGCGGTGGCGGGCAACGGCGGTACTGATGGCGGTGGCGGTAGTGGTGGTAATCGTCACTGCGTCTCCGCTGACACCGGCACTGCTTGTCGCCACCAGAGGAGGGAACCGAGGAGACAAAGGAAGGGGATTTGAACCTCGTCTCCCTCACTTTAGCTGCCTCTAGTCATCGTCGCTACGGTACCGCCGTCCGCGCTGCTGGCGGCCGCCAACGCTGGCACCAACGCCGGGGAGAGGGTTTGAAACTCCTCCTCCTCTTCTTTTCCATTTTGGGTGCTATTTAGCTGCCCCGTAATTTAAGATGATATCGACCCGCTGCGCTGTTGTTACGTTCTGTGTTCGCTGCTGGTTTGCAGTCGGAAGAAAACAACAGATGCTACGTGCAATCTGAGCACACGATCGAAGATTGTAATGTTATGTGCTAAAGAATTTGAGATCGGAAAATCGATATGAATAGAAATGGGAAGGGGTAAATGCGGGTGGAACCAGAGACGCAACCGAAAGCGTGCGACCTGAAATCGGCGCCGGGGACGGTAATCGCAACAATATTTATGACAAAATCATATTCTGCCTACGTCATGTGTAACAAGACAAGAAATGCCAGAAAATATTCGAAACCACAGCATGTCGTACAAGCCTTGCCAATCGTCGGCTTGGCCGAAAAGAGGCCGTGGCAATAGAAATCTAAATTCGAGTCGGGAGGGGTGCCGGAATCGATTCTGGAGTGGCGGGAGAAATTGGGAGGTGAGGATCGACGCAGAAATCGGAAACGAAAGACGAAGGATTGGAGCTGGAGTGTGAAGTGGAGTTGGAAAAGGATCCGGAATCCGGGAGCAAGAACCGGTGTTGGAACGTACGCTTTATCAGGCCCAAACATCGACGCTTCTCCAATCAACTTCTTCGACGCGGGACAGATGCCGCGATTCACTTTCGCCGCTTCAGTACAAACATTTTCCCCCGAAAATGTGATGGTAAACATGAATGGTGTGGGAGCGTTCGACCACGTCTGCTGCGCACGAATGTATGAAGAATTACAACGCCCAACATATGATGCCATTTGCATGGCAATGGTCCGGTAGTGCATCTCATGTCAAATGGCGGGACGCCAACAACAATGTAAAGGATATTTTTTGACCAAGGTGGCAGGGGTGAATCAAGTGATGCTTTATGGCAGCGCTATTTTGCATGGCCCTCCCAGCATTATGCGCATTCGGGATGGTGTCCCCTGCTTATATTGATAATGTTTACTCGGAGTGTGACTTTGACAAAGTATCTTTTGTTCTTCGCCTTGCAGAACAAACCTTTGATGAAGTGTGCCACATAATTACAAAGGTTAGTAAGCGTTGTACTTTGGGTGAATTTCCATGCGCCTTTCCTTGACAACCTTGTGGGCCAAAAAGCGTAAACTGGGAATATGCAACAAACCACTTGGAGAACGAGACGTCCACGGAACACATCAAGACAAACCAGGCACAAGGGTAATGCTGTTCATCGCCATGCATTGCGGTTGTTATTATTTTTCTGCGCGGCCCCGACGATGAGTTTTTGGCTCGATTTAGTGCCTCCGCAAGATGTGCAATGGCTTGTTGCAAAATACGAACTTACCAGTCCAACAGGTATGTACAATGCCGGCACAACATGGGTCGAATAGGGGTATACACGTTTTTTTGGTGGGGTCCACCGCAGCGCAAACCTCACACACCATCAAATGCCCATCGTCAGGGTGAAACACGGAACCAGCACAGCCCCGATGCGCGGCCAAGCAGGGAAAAAAGTGGAGGATGAGGAGGAGGAGGAGGAGGAGGAGGAGGAGGAGGAGGAGGAGGAGGAGGAGGAGGAGGAGGAGGAGGAGGAGGAGGAGGAGGAGGAGGAGGAGGAGGGAGGCCTCCTGGGAGCCTGGAGAGCCGCCCGAAAGCTCTCCTGGGTTGCTTGGGAGCGTCTTCGGCCGTTGTTTTACGCTCTGGGGCCTTCTTGGGATCGTCTTGGGCTGTCTGTGGGTGTTTTGGGGGCTCCCTAGGAGGCCGGGAAATGCGGTATACCTTGAGCGTAATCCAAATGTGATCGAGGTGGAGGACGCCCCGGAAAGGTGCCTGGCGTTTTTTTGGTCTAGAAATAATAATTTAAAAGCCTTCCCATCCGCCATCCTCCTCCTCCGCCCTTCCGCATTTTCCCCGCGGGCGCCTCCGCGGGCCTCCTGCGCGCCGCGCGGTGCAGCCTCGGGTGGCCCCGGCGAGCCGCCCTCACGCCGCACGGTGCAGCCTCAGGTGGCGGACAGCGTGCATGGAGCCCTGCTGGAGAAGCGCCGCCTCCCCCTCGAGGACGTCGAGGGCCTCGCTCGGACCCCGTTAGGGTAGCCTGCTTCCCATTTTTCCTCCCCTTCTTCTTCCTTTGCTGCTCTTCTTTTTCCTCTGGCCAGTCGCCGCTTGGCCGAGGGCCCGCGTCAGGTCTCCGCCGATGCATAGGTGAGGGGGGAGGGCAGGGGAACCCCACTCTGCGTGGGTGCGCGTCGGGTTGCCTGCGTGGTCGCCCGGCGAGCCTCGGTAACGGAGCCTCCCTAGTCGAGCCTCAGTAATGGAGCCTCCCGAGTAGAGCCTCCCGAGTAAAGCCTCAGCAGCGGAGCGTCAGTAGTGGAACCTCCCTGGAAGAGCCTCAGTAGATACCCTCTCCCCCCCCTCCCCCTCTCCTCCTAACCCCCACCCTCCAGACCCAGGAGAGAGGGTATGGGAGGGGCTTGCCCCTCCCACTACCCTCTCCCCCTGGGTCTGGATGGGGGGGAGGTCGGGGCTCGTTGGAGCGCTCAAGATGGCCTCGGCGAGAACCCCCTCCTCCTCCTCTTCCTCCTCCTCCTCCGGCGACGACAACATACGACGACGTAAAGGGCAGCATGCGGAGGCGGCCACGCTTGAGACCATAGCGGTGGCGGGTATCTGGACCAGGGAGAGGTGAAGGCAAGCCATGCTCTGCCCAACTGGCGACGAACTCTGCGCCAGGTGTGGCCAGGCCCCCGAGACAGAAACGCATCGCTGCCACGAGTGCCCCGCCGACGAGCAGATCGGCCACGGCAACAACGACACCACAGCCAAGACAGCAAAGGCCGCGATCGAGCAACAACGGGACATGCATTTCTGGCTCCGAGGCATTCCCCCAGCCGCCTGGGCAGCCAAGGTCGAACCGGATGAGGACACCACCATCGGGTCGGGCGAAAGGGGGGGATAGCAAAGGGGTGTTTCAGAATCAGCTCGCGCAGCTGATTTTCCCGGCGCCTCCTGGCGCCGGAGGCGGCCATGTATCGAGGAATGGGTCCCTCGGTGGGGCCGAAACCAGCTGCATGCAGCAAATGTCGTGACCCCCCCTTTCCCAATCCCCCCCTTTCGCCCGGCCCGACACCAGGGCCAGCCATGCACCAACGGCGAGGCGCAGGCAGCGGCCCAGCAGGGGAGAAAGGTCCACGCGGACGTTGTCCTCACCGACGGCTCAGGGGGAACAAATATACTAACGGCAACGGACGCGCGACTCAGGCGATGTGGCTGGGCAGTCGTGGCTTTCAAGCTGGACGAGAATAGCATGCCACGAGAGGTCGGAGCCTCGTACGGCACTATCAGGGTCCCTCACACAGTGCCGAGAGCGGAGCTGACGGCCATGAGCAGGGCCATCAGGGACACCACGGCGGCGAAGAGCACCAGGCTCAACATCGTCAGTGACAGCAAGTACGCCCTCGACGCCCTGAAGCAGATCCAGGACCCAGAGGTTAAGGACTACAGGCCCACCAACTACGACCTCTGGCTCCTGACGAATTCGCCGGCCCAACGGGCCAGAGGCGTGCTAAGATCTCCGGTAACTACTTAACAATATTTCTAGTTCGCGCGCGTGGGGCGGTCCCTGGGGGGCCCCGGACGAAAAGTACCCTGGCCGATCTCCGGCTGACCCCCGGGCGATACCCAGGGGGGAGGCTATTTTTCGCCACCCCTCACGAGGATCGTGGCCTCCGAGGGGGGGGGGCTGCCAACGACTAACCCCCTCCCGCCCAAAGAGGCCCCCAAGAGCCCCCCAAGAGGCCCCAGGGGAGCCCAATGCGCCGCCAAGGAGCCCCAAGACGCTCCCAAGACGGCCCCCAAGAGGCCCCAAATAGCGCTCCAGGGCCGGCGGAATGAGCGAAGCGATTACATAAACAGCTTCAGAACAGCGACGACACGATCATAGGCCACCACATCCTCAGCCACCCGACCGAGCACCCGTCGGAGCTGGAGCGCTGGGCGGGCCCGACGTAGTGGGCCACTGGCAGCGAGATGGCTGACGAGTGCGCCAGCCGGGGAGCCGAGCACGGGGCGCTGGACCCGACCACCATTGTGGAGCAGCAGATCACGGATTAGATCGCGGGTGCCGTCCAGAACAAGCTGCGAAGGATCAACATGGCAGCGACCGTGTAGGACCCTACCAAGACGGCCAAGGAGAAGAAGGCGCCCAGGAGGAAGCCACAGGCAACCAACGCTCAAACAGAACGACAAGGCCATGATCTCCGCAAATTGCATCCCCGATGGTGGTGTGTGCGCTGCCGCAGTGGACCAGACACAGGACAGGGTGGCAGAGACAGGGGAATGCACCGAGCACGTCGGCCAGCACACGGACCAGCACGGAACAAGCGCATGGACTTCCCAGGCAGTCAAGATAGGTGCCAGGCTCGTGCACGAGACGCACAAGGCGCAGTACCTGCAAGGCTGGCTCTGGTGCAAAGTCTCGGCGCAACGAGCTGCCTGGGCGACCACACAGCAGGACTGTGGCAGGCGTGGCGCGAACGCTTGCCAAGGACTGCCGAGCACCAACAGAACCAGGATGCACGATGGATAACCATCGAGCGCATGCAGCAGAGACGGCTACCAGCGCGAGGGGCCAAACGCGTTCCCGATGATGACAGCCAAGATGAGGCATCCCTGCAGCCAGAGACGACGCCAGCCAGCACTGTCGGAGATCTGAGGCCCAGCAGCACAGAGGTGATAGACCTGGATGACGATCCAGAGGAGCCAGGCGGGGCCCACCTCGAGCACCATCGGGTGCCCAACCCACACCCGCAGCCAGTAGCCCGGGCAAGCTGGAGGCTGGTCGACCATATGGAGGGCCATGCTGAGCAGCTGATGCACATGGTTGGCCAGGCGCCCTGGGACGACATGAATGATTTGGGTGGGGCACTGTGTGCCGTATCCCCTGGCGATCGCCAGCGTGGGCGGCAGGACCAGCATGCAGCATGGCGGACCAGACGCAGGAGGTCACGGCGCCATCGCTCCAGCAGATCCAGGATTTCTGCGAGGACACCTGGCGAATCACGCGCAGAGCGCGACGGAGGCCGATGACCCACATGCCCTCCCTCCCGCACGGCACGAGGCAGCTCGCAGCAACTGCGCACGTGGAGGCCTTCCAAAGGCGGAGGGACCACATCCTGATGCACAGCAGCCCCAGCAACGAGAGGAGGCCACTGCCCACCACAGCAGAAGGTCGAACAGCGTGGACGCCAACGGACTTTGACGACGTACCGACGATGGCAGGCAGTACGGAGCCGCCAGAAACAGCAGACGCCAACGACCACAGCATGAATGACACCCCAGAGGAGCCGGAGGGGCATGATGACACGTCCCTCATGCAACAGTCGGGCTTCGTGCAGGTGGCCCAGCTCGGCAGGGTGCACGACCCACACCTCATGAAGTTCGTGCAGCAGGCGAAGGACGTGGACATGCTGAACCCCAGGATGAGGCAACACCGAGGCGACGTCAGTCCAGACCCAGAGCACGAAGCAGCCTGACAGGAGCGCAACCGCCTGGGGAACCAGATGTAGTCGCTGGCAGGTTGCTGGACACGGGGCGCGGGAGAGGGAGGACTGCGGACGTGGCGAGCGGCTTGCGTACCACATGTCTTCCAGGCCCTGCAGACCTGGACCCACCACCGCCTTGTCAGCGACACGCCAGGCCAATCCAGACAGCAGAGCCAGCGCAGAGCGGCCGAGGGGATCTGCCGCGTGGCCCAGCTCCGCAGCGGCCAGACGCGACGTGCCACGGCCAGCACTGATCCCGCAGCGGCAGCCAGGCGCGAGCCGACGGCAGAGTCGGTCCTGGGAGTCCAGCGCGGTGCAGCCCAGGCCTGCGGCAGCAGCGGAGGAGAGGCGCCCAGGAGGGCAGCCAGCCAGCCGCAGCGGGGGCTGCCAACCGCCCAGCGGGAGCGAGCTGCACCGAGGCAGGGCATGGGCAGCCGGCCGCCCAGCGGGAGCGAGCTGCGCCCAGCAGGCGGCACGCCCAGCAGGAGGAGGCCGTGCCTCCCACCCGGCCCCGCGCGCGCCCAAACGCGACGGCACCGGTGCGGGGGCGCACGCCGGAAGGCCGCAGAGCCGAGGAGCGAGCTCCGCCTTCGCTCCGGGCTGCTCCTCGGGCTCTGCGCTCCAGGCGGAGGAGGAGGAGGAGGAGGAGGAGGAGGAGGAGGAGGAGGAGGAGGAGGATGAGGATGAGGATGAGGATGAGGATGAGGATGAGGATGAGGATGAGGATGAGATGAGGATGAGGATGATGATGATGATGATGATGATGATGATGATGATGATGATGATGCTGATGATGATGATGATGATGATGATGATGAGGATGAGGATTATGATGATGATGCTGATGATGATGAGGAGGATGAGGAGGAGGAGGAGGAGGAGGAGGAGGAGGAGGAGGAGCAGAAGCTGCCCGTGTCTAGAGGGAGAGAGGCCGGCCCAGGGCGAGTGCCGCCTCGGCAGGCGCAGGGGATGGGAGTGCCAGCGCGGTTGCCCCGAGGCCCCGGCAGCCGCCCTCGGGCTGCCAGGCCGAAGGGCGGCCCAGAGGAGAGGAGCTGAGGCCGTGGGCCCACTGCCCGCGCGGGCGCTGCGCGCGCGGGCGTGCCGAGCCGCTCGGCACTCGCCCCTGTGCCTGGCCACCGGTGTTAACACTCCCCCTCCTCCTCCTCCTCCTCCTCCTCCGATTCTTTACCCATCCTCTCCCTCTTGGGGTATGACGTCTTGCCCAGCCCGTTCTTCCACTGCATGCTCCTCCACGTCCCTGATCAAGGTAACTCCTCTGGGCATCGTTTCTGGATGGGCTGATGGGGTTACTTTTTGGGTGCGCGGGCTCGCGATGCAAGTCGAAAGCTGTGTAAAGCTAGGGCGGGCCGCGCCGAAGCACAGGAAAAAACAACGAAGGTGATGGGTTACTTTTTTTCCGTCGCAGCCGCAAGCGAAGGCGCATGCGGCGTCAGTGGTCAACCCAGTATGGGCGAAGCTCAATTGCCCACCGGACGCACTCACGGCTGCCGAGGCTGCCGCCGAGGGAGGCTGAGGGGCGCCGGGGGCTGAAGGCAGGCTGCGAAAGCTGCCAGGAACGCCAGGCGGCCAGCGTGCGGGCATCCCAGAGGCGAGACCACGGGAAGAGGATTAATTGAACCTTGTCGCGCCAGGCGCCAGAGGTAGGCGCGTGATGGGGTCATTCAAAGCGTCTAGAATAGCGTTTAACCAATCCCTATCCCGACCAGCGTTGCCTGGGCCCGTGGCCGATGTACCCCGCTAGATGGGGATATAGGCTGTTCCCTTCGGGCTTCAAGGGGGTCTCCCCCCAAGTGGGGCGGTGTGCTGGTGGGGCTGTCATGCTATCCCCCGATGGGGATGGGGAAAGGTTGACCGACACTCAGCGCTGCAGCTGCGCGGTGCGGCGACTGATTCTGTGGTGGGCTGCGCCGTGGTTGCGTGATGGCGGCCGCGCGCGCCGTCCCGCCGGGCTGGGCCAAGCCGGCCGTGCGCGGTGGGCTGAGCAGGAACGGCCGCGGCTGCACGGTGGTTCACCGATGAGCTGCTCGCTGGGGGGCCACATCCATGCGCCAAGTCCAATGTGCCCGCATCAAAGACCACTAAGCGCGAAGGGTCACTCTTACGCGCAGCTGACATCGTCACAGAATTGGGAACCTCTCGGTGCAGACGAAATCTGTGGGATTTGCACCATCTCCAACCCGGTGTCGGGTGCCGACCTCGCCATCGTGCCCGCTCTCTCCGCGCTCCTCCTGCTGGCTCTCCGCGCAGGTCCCCCCCTGCCGAGACAAAGACGCCACGAGGGGGCCCCACGGGCCCGCGCAGGAGAAGTGCGCCACTGTCCCAGTTGGAATGGCCAACGGCGACGTTCACACAGTCTTTCCGAGAGCCGCGCGGACGCCTTGGGAGGCGCTGGGCCCGCTCTCCCAGCGCGCCCGAAGCGCCGTCGAGCGCTGGGAGCGGGGCCCAGCGCCTGCCCAAGACTTCGCGCGGA